CTACTACTGCAAATACTTTAAATTTTACTCCCAGAACAGTGAAAGTCCCCATTACATCTGCTTGTAGAATTGGATTGCATTCCATTACAATGGGACACACAGTGAATAGGCCTCGCAGCAGAGCCCATCTCCAAACACAATAAAAGACATTACACCGACTCTCGAACATCTTATCTACCTGCTCCTCTCCAACATCTCAGTCTGCACGCGGCCGTCATCAGGAGACAATGAGGCCTCAACATCCAATTTGGACCTTTAAAGGTTCGGACAAACAGGTGCGCGCTCGTGAAGAGGCGCTGATTGGAGCGAAAAACTTTAGCGGCTCATATTACGCTATTTTCGGATGTTATAATGTCATTTCCTCGTCAAAAAAACAGACCTGGAGTTGTGTTTTGTTTCATTCACATGTTTAACAAATGCTGCATATTCAGGTGAAGTTCTTCTCTCAGACTGAAAAGGCTCGGTTCCACCTTGTGATGTCATGTGGTGATACAAGACGCTCCACTGTGTTTTCAAACTCTACACAATTTCACGAGAATCATTTGGATCATTTCAGCTCTGGATCTGAAATGATCTAAAGGCAGAAGGAGCTGTTGACTTGAAAACTACTGTGTCATGACATCACAAGGTGGAACAGAGCATTTTGAGCTTTGCAAATGTAGATAGACTAATAATAAAGAATTACTCAAACATGTGACTGAAACAAAAAGCAAATTCATATATGTTTTTCAGAAAGAAACAACATTATAGCGTGACTTAAAGTTCGACTCAATTTAGTGTAATACAGGACCTTTAAAGACAAAGCGACAATTAAGGTGTGCAAAAGAATATATGCTTTTCCTATCTGTGTTATTTTCTGTTTTTTTATTGTTTAAAAATGCTAGAAGAGTTATGTATAATGCACCTGCAGTGGCTGAAAATCTCCCTACATTGACAGATTCAGCAGTCCTGGGACCACTCCTGGGAAATGAGCATTTAGACGGATTTGCTACTTAAAGGTTTTATGAAGGATTTTTTTTTTTTTTTTTTTTTTTTTTTTGAACCAGGACAAAGCCAGGACTAAACCAGGTCTAAATCAGGACTAAACCAGGACTAAACCAGGACTGAACTAGGAGTGAACCAGGACTAAACAAGAACTAAACCAGGACTAAATCAGGTCTAAACCAGGACTAAACCAGGGCTAAACCAGGACTAAATCAGGACTAAATCAGGTCTAAACCAGGTCTAAACCAGGACTAAATCAGGTCTAAACCAGGACTAAACCAGGGCTAAACCAGGACTAAATCAGGTCTAAACCAGGACTACACCAGGACTAAATCAGGACTAAATTAGGTCTAAACCAGGTCTAAACCAGGACTAAATCAGGTCTAAACCAGGACTAAACCAGGGCTAAACCAGGACTAAATCAGGTCTAAACCAGGACTAAACCAGGGCTAAACCAGGACTAAATCAGGTCTAAACCAGGACTAAACCATGGCTAAACCAGGACTAAATCAGGTCTAAACCAGACTAAAGGGCTAAACCAGGACTAAATCAGGTCTAAACCAGGACTAAACCAGGGCTAAACCAGGACTAAATCAGGTCTAAACCAGGACTAAACCAGACTAAACCAGAAACCAGGACTAAACCAGGTGAAGGACCAGGACTAAACAGAACTAAACAGGACTAAACCAGGACTAAACCAGGACTAAATCAGAAACCAGGACTAACTAAACAGGTCTAAACCAGTAAACCAGGGCTAAACCAGGACTAAATCAGGTCTAAACCAGGACTACACAGGACTAAATCAGGACTAGGTCTAAACCAGGTCTAAACCAGGACTAAATCAGGTCTAAAGGACTAAACCAGGGCTAAACCAGGATAAACAGGTAAACCTAAACAGGACTAAACCAGGGCTAAACCAGGACTAAATCAGGTCTAAACCAGGACTAAACCTAAATCAGCCAGGACTAAACCAGGCCAGGGACTAAACTAAACTAAATCAGGTCTAAAACCAGGACTAACCAGGACTCTAAACCAGGACTAAACCAGGACTAAACCAGGACTAAATCAGGACTAAATCAGGTCTAAACCAGGTCTAAACCAGGACTAAACAAAGACTGACCCAGGACTGAAGCAGAACTGATAGTGTGAAGGGGAGTGATGCGTCTTGGTTTGTGGGAAACACTGATTTCACCTTGTCCTGATTCATGTTCTTTCATTCAAAGCAGCATTTAAAACAGCAGTACCAAGATGGCGGCTTTGTTGACACATTTGTTCCAGTACACAGCGGTCGTCAATGTGAGATCTACTGTTCGACACGTATGGGTTTGCTGTTAGAGTTAAATAGGGACATATGGTCACTCTAAAAAACTAAAACACAAGAAAACTAAGCCACCTCTATACTAGATCCAACACCGCTAAAACTACAATGCTACAGCTAACTAGCATATCCACCTGTCCTCCTGCGTCCTCCCCTGTCCCCTGAAAGGCACTGGGCGGGGCTGGGGCTCGGGGTCAGAGGTCACAGTGTTGCGGTCAGGAGGGGGCGCTCACGGGGTGCCGCTGCACTGGGCATGCTCCCTGCACTCGGGGCAGGTGTACAGGATGTGCTGGGGGTCCGGCCCCTCCCACCGCGCACTCCCGTTGGGGATGGCGCCGTTAGCCGCGATGCTAGCGGCGGCCTCTTGTGCCCGGAGGGAGCGGTGCAGGCGGGCGCAGTAACTGCTGCGCTCACAGTGACAGAGGACAGGGCATGAGTGAGTGGGTGAGGGGTGGGGGCATGGGGCGGGAGGGCAGACTGTACAGCCAGGGTCCACGAAGAACTATTTAGAAACCTCAGTGAAAGTGGTGACATTTTTTTAACAGACCAATATAGGCGAGTTTCATTGTTGACAAAAGCGCGCGTTGCATGCTGGGAATTATTTTGGTCGGCGGCAAGAAACACTAATTCAACATGACGGACGGAGCGAGAAAGCACGTAAAGGGTATTGATCCTGGTTATTTATCCACTCTAACGGCAGAGGACCCAAGACCATTTGACCAGAAATTGGTCATAAGCATCGACGGACGAAAAAATCACCCTTTTCAACCCCGACAAAAGGTGGACCAAACCAAATTTCTGGTCAGAATCGCCAACTACCTGGACAAATATTCACTTTGGTGATATTCACAATGAGTTGGTGGAAACTCCTGGGCCATTCACAGCAGAAAAGATGAAAACCTCCAAGAGTCTCGATGTGTTGTTGAACTTGTTGGAGTCCACGGTTTGTTAGGATCTTCTACGTTTGCTCTGCGAATGTTTGAAAGTCGTTTAATTCACCGTTAGCGGTTCTTTTCACTCAGAATACGAAAAAGACATTTTCCTTCTTCCGTGCTTCTATTTGTGCATCCGATAATGTAGCAGGAATTTACCATTTTCGGGGATAAATACGCGAGGTTACGCACTGTGTTTGACTGCTATCGTGTTTCTTGCCCCCGACCAAAATATTTCCCAGCATGCAACGCGGGCTTTTAATAACAATGACGTCATCTGAAACTCGCCTATACCATGATCTGGTCTGATAGTATAAAAAGAAATCTCCAATCAGCTTTTCTGTGTGTCTGTTTATATATTCTTTTAGGGCCGGGGTCTCCAACCTGTAGCTCAGGAGCTGCAGTCGTTCTCTATCCACTTCCAAGTAACTCACCAAGAGATTTGAATTACACTTACTGTGTGCTAAACAAGTCAAATTTGATTAATTAATGCCTTTTACCACTTTACATGTATCATTTGGATGTCTGACTTTGTGCATTAATACCGTATTTTTCAGACTATTAAGCGCACTTAAAATCCTTTAATTTTTGAGAGTGCGCCTTATAATCCTGTGCGATTTATGTATTCATTCTGGTTGTGTTTACTGACTTCAAACTGATGTTATGTGGTACATGGTCCTCAAAAATCTGTCAAAATGTTTTAGTACGACTTCGGTAAGCTACAAAGCCGCACTACTTGATGGTTTACGGCTACTGTAGTCAGGAGCCTGGCGGAGTAAAGCACATTCACCAAGACAGTGAGGCAAGGCTGGGCAAGTTATGCCACTTGATCGTGGACGCCTGGGCTAAAGCATCAGTCTCAAGTGTCGTCCGAGCTTTCACGAAGGCCGGAATCATCACTGAACAGCAAAGTAACAGCGACGAGACATGACGAGGGATCTGGGCTTGATGCCGAAATCGCCCAACTGTTAAACTCAGACACTGAAGAATTTGATGTGTTTGTGGAAGGAATGAACTAAAAAAAGTGAGTGTGTTGTTTTGTATTTGATGTGTTACAACTGAACAATGTTGAGTTGAATAAAGTTTGACTTATCTCACTGTTTTGTTTTTCTTAATGCACCTTATAATCAGTGCGCCTAATGTATTAAAATAGACGAGAGAAGCCAACATTATTGATCTTGCACCTTCTAATCAGATGCAACTTATAGTCTGAAGAATACGGTAAATGGATAATGGTTTGTTTTACAGGTATCTATCTGTTTCTCATCTAAGGCTGTGGCTCTTATATTTACTCAATTTCTTGTGACATTTTTGTTTTGTAAAAGTAGCTCACTGGAGGAAGAAGGTTGGAGACCCCTGTTTTGTGCACCCTCTATTGGCCTACATTTCCTTTATCCTGTGTTCACGTGAATAGTCACATGATTTATGGAAGATCGTATTTCGGGACACCCTGTCAAAGACCGGCCAGCTGGTTGACAAGCTCTGGCATCCGGCCTTATGTAATAAAGAACTTTTAATATAATCAGTCTGTGTCTCGGGTTTGTACCTTGCCCATTTTTACAGCACAAAGTAAGATTTACTGTCTCAGCAAAATGTGGTTCTTTTTGCTATTGGAAGTGGAAAGTTTGCAAAGAGTCGACACAAAGATCCAAACTGCTGTGGTTTGATTCTTGACTCTGGGCCTGGTTCTACAGTCTGCACTCTGGACTAAACACTATGGGAGGTGATGAATGACTGAATGAACAAAGGGACTGAAGAGCACTCACCAGGCTAAGTAAATCATAGACACTATGAATATGAGGAGCACCAGGCCCCCCGCTGCTACCCCGTACACCCACATCTTCAGCCTCCCATCTGCAGACGACACAGAGGTACACTCAAGAGTCTGCACACGACACAGAGACACTGAAGAGTCTGCACACGGCACACAGACACACTCAAGAGTCTGCACACGGCACACAGACGCACTGAAGAGTCTGCACACGACACAGAGACACTGAAGAGTCTGCACACGACACACACTGACACACTCAAGAGTCTGCACACGGCACACAGACGCACTGAAGAGTCTGCACACGGCACACAGACACACTGAAGAGTCTGCACACGACACAGAGACACTGAAGAGTCTGCACACGGCACACAGACACACTGAAGAGTCTGCACACGGCACACAGACACACTGAAGAGTCTGCACACGGCACACAGACACAGAGTCTGCACACGGCACACAGACACACTGAAGAGTCTCCACACGGCACACACAGACACACTGAAGTCACACAGACACACTGCAGAGTCTGCACACGGCACACAGACACACTGAAGAGTCTGCACACGGACACAGAGACACACTGAGAGTCTGCACACGGCACACAGACACACTGAAGAGTCTGCACACGACACAGAGACACACTGAAGAGTCTGCACACGGCACACATACACACTGAAGAGTCTGCACACGCACACAGACACACTGAAGAGTCTGCACACACAGAGACACTGAAGAGTCACACACACAGACACACTGAAGAGTCTGCACACGACACAGACACACTGAAGAGTCTGCACACGGCACACAGACACTGAAGAGTCTGCACACGACACAGACACACTGAAGAGTCACACGACACACAGACACACTGAAGTCTGCACACGGCACACAGACACACTGACTGCACACGACACAGAGACACACTGAAGAGTCACACTGCACACTGAGTCTGCACACGGCACACAGACACACTGAAGAGTCTGCACACGACACACAGACACACTGAAGAGTCTGCACACACACAGACACACTGAAGAGTCTGCACACGGCACACAGACACACTGAAGAGTCTGCACACGGCACACAGACACACTGAAGAGTCTGCACACGACACAGACACACTGAAGAGTCTGCACACGACACACAGACACTGACTGAGACACTGCACACAACACACAGACACACTGAAGAGTCTGCACACGACACAGAGACACACTGAAGAGTCTGCACACGACACAGAGACACACTGACTGACACGAGTGAAGAGTCTGCACACGACACAGACACACTGACACACTGAAGAGTCTGCACACGAGACTGACACAGACACACTGAAGAGTCACACGGCACACAGACACACTGAAGAGTCTGCACACGACACAGACACACTGACTGCACACGACACACAGACACACTGAAGTCTGCACACTGAAGAGTCTGCACACGGCACACAGACACACTGAAGAGTCTGCACACTCCTGACACCAGACAAGAGACAGGAGATCCAAGATGACCGCTCACACTCTTCATCTGAGTCCTGCTTAGGAACCTTGAATGTTGAAGTGTTAAACATATTTTACTTGGATGTTATTTAAATGTGCACTATGTAATTTTTCTGGTGCAGGGTTCACAACTAATGTTTCACAATAAGGCTTTAAACATATCAAAACTTCAATTCAGTATCACAATGACCACGTTTACATGATGCTTTTTTAAATCCCTAATTAATTTTTCTGAATTAAATAGTTCGGAATTAAAATATTCTCCTTCAAGGTTTACATCGAAAATACGTTAAATTGCCTTTATTTAATTCCATCTGGGGGTGGAGAAGGGTTCTGATTGGACAGAGACACGAACGTATTTACGTCTACTGGAAGAAAACACACACTTCAGCTGCTACAGCTTTTTTGTCATCTCGGTTTGTCAATCACAAACATGATCCAAACTTTTTTCGCTGTCATTCCAATGATAATTGCGCAGCAGCTGAAGAATTCTGTCATCACGCTTTACGTCTGTGAGCTGAGGAGGAGAAGAGAAGAGTGTCGGAGAAGTGAGGAAGAAGACAAACTGAGTCAACGGCTGCTCTACCTCAGCCCACTCCCACATCCCGCTCACAAATTCAAAGAGACGTGGATGAAAGTCTGAAGCCAGGACTGGTGGAGCCGGTCAGAAGGGCAATAAAATGAGCAATTATTTTGAAGAAGAATAAACATTTACATGATCGAGGAATAAATTAATTAACAACTGGAATAAACCACAACTTACTTCAGAATTAAGTTTAAATAAGTTTAGGAATTAAGTGTTTATTCATTCAGTTTTATTCAGACTTAAATAATTTTTATTCAGAATTAAAGCTCTCATGTAAACGTGGCAAATGTGCTCTTAAATCCGTGTAATCCTTCAGTGGTCCAGGTACATTCTATAATTCTATAGTGGTCCATGTTCTGATACAGTTCCAGATCATTCTAAAACTATTCAGGAAACCTTTACTTCTCTCTTGTGAATGTGACTTTTTTTTAGAGTATCTTTACCGGCTCCGTAGGGCTGCAGGTACCAGGCCCTGCCCCCTCTCCCCGGCTGGGCGGTGGAGCTCTGGGTGGGGCTGGCCGCTCGGCTGGTATCCACCTCGGCCCCGGGGTCCTGCGCCGTGGGGAGCTCCAGGACGGGGATGGGGGCGCAGCGCAGGAGCTGACCCACCGGAGAGAGGAGCTCAGTGTAGCCCTCCTCGCACATGCACAGGCCACTCTGCAGGGGGCGCCACAACACAGCACAAACACACACAGAGAAAGAGACACTGGGGTTATTTGGGGGAAGAGGATTGTAGAAAATGTGCACAAATATACAAATAAAAAGTGAGAGTGTAGGCTGAATTCTTTGATTTTAGAATTTAGAAAGTTAAAATGTATTTATATTTCAACGTACATATAATAATTACTTTTTTTTTTTTTTTTTTTTATAACTATAATTGCTAAACTGTTTCAGAAATATTAGACAAATACTAGGTTTAATATTTTTCTCTACTGGCTGATAATTTAGAGAAATCGTTTTCAAAAGTTAGCTTTATAAATAAAATGAAAATAAAGCAACTTTTTATTAGTTAAAATAAACATCTAAGGTCTATTTTTAGTTAGTTAAAATTGAGTCAAATACAGTCTAAATGTTTTTTGCCAAAAGATGTTACTCAATTTCAACCACAGAGAAAAATGTGAAATAAAATGACCTGGAATAGTCTCATAAAGATATAAGCGATATGAACCATAAATTTGAAGTTTGAATAAATTAGGAAGTAGAAGAAATAGTAAAGTAGGAATGGATTTTGCATTTCCTCAAGTGGTGTGAGATGATGGAACATTACAAAGAGGGAATAAAACTTTCTATAAACCTAAGGCAGCTCAAAAATAAGTATAAAACACTTTTTTTTTTTTTTTTTTCGAAAGCTACATGGACGAAATGTGAGAGAAGTACAGGCATTATTGTAAAGTTCGACTCGTCCGAACATCACCATCACTCTCGCACACACACCACAGTCACGCCGGGCACAGAGGGTGAAGTGTCTTGCCTAAGGACACAACAACAGAACTCAATCCAAGTGAGAAAAATGGCGAATGGTCTCATTTTTATACAGAACTTTTCCACTGTCACAACACTGGAAGCGCTTTACATCAAGGAACCACTCGCCCGTTCACACGCACATTCACACACCGGTGTACTCAGACACTGGGGGCGAGGCGGATTGAGGGTTTTGCCCAAGGACACAACGACAGCATTCATCTGTGGGAGCTGGAATCGCACGGCCAACCTGCGAGTCGGTGGATCTGACCGCTCAACCGACAGTGTTTATGTCGACACTATCAACTGAGATACTGTCGCTCCCACATATTTTATCTGCATAACTAACTAACTAACTAACTAACTAAATAAATAAATAAATAAAGCTAATTGTTATCGCATTAAAGTGATTCAAATAAATATCCAAGGTACATTCTTAATTAGTAAAAAGATCTAAATATTTATGACCAAAAGATGTTACAGAGTTTGAGAGAGAAAAGAAAAGTATCTAGAACAGTCTAAAGAAAGAAATAGGGAAATGCAAAACAAAGAATAAATAATTCTGTACAAATGTGACTATTTACAGATTTGTTGAAACAACGTTATTCATTCACAACTGCTCTGGGGCAAACTGACGGCTGCAAGGCCAACGCGCCATTGACAGGTCCAACCGCCACCAACACTCACGCGCACGCCACAAGTGTCTTGCCGAAGGACGCAACAACAGAACTTGTTCCGAGCGGAATACAACTTTTGTTTTAGTTTAGTTGATAGCCTCTGAAGATAATCTGTGCTCTAAAATTCAATAATATTGTTCTGTAAGTGTTAAGCAAAGCAGATATTGAGTGAATACACATGCGCTCGAGTATCCGGTTTTACAGGTTTTTCAAGTATCCGGTTATGATCAGGTTTTTCAAGTATCCGGTTATGATCAGGTTTTTTGGTTATGTCAGGTTTTTTGGTTATGATCAGGTTTTTTGAGTCTGGTTATGATCAGGTTTTTGAGTATATGATCAGGTTTTTGGATCAGTATGATCTGGTTATTTTGATATTCTGGTTAGGTTTTTTGATGATCAGGTTTTTGGTTATGGTTTTGTAAGGTTTTTGAGTATTCTGGTTATGATCAGGTTTTTTGAGTATTCTGGTTATGATCAGGTTTTTGGAGTATCCTGGTTTTGTAAGTGTCCATGTAAATGCAGTATCCTGGATCTGCCAGTATCCCAGTTATGAAAAACCAGGAGACTCTCACTTGGTTTTTCTGAGAGTATCCAGGATACTGTGACCTGTAGATCTTGATTTCTCTGAACTGGAGCTGGACTGAGCGTGTGTGAACTCAAGTCACAAAAACAGTAGGTGCAGTTACTTTTCCAAAACGACTCAAACTTCCATCAGGACCTTTAACGCACTAACATTTTATACTTATAAAGAAAATAAAGCAGTCTACTGTTTAATACAGCCACATTTTAACACCATGTTCACCTCTGTGTCTGTTTGTGTTGCTCTTGAACTAAACTGACTCTGTGACACTGCGTTGTATTTTCAGCTGTTAAAAATGCCATTTACTGATGTTGTGACAAAGCTCCACAGTCTCATGTTCTTACTTGAATGTACTATGTCTTCATTTTTGTTGTTAGAAAACCGTTTAAAAGCCTTAAGTTAGAAAATTTACTAAATGTCTATATCTAACCGGGATACTCAAGTGCATATAAACGCTGTCATTGTTTTTGCGGTGCAGAGAGGAGCAGTCTTGTCTTCTCCTCAGACGGGATCTCTGGTGGAGGTCACACTCTCCAGACTCACTGAGAGCACACTTGGCTGCTCCTCGCTCTTCTGTACCGGAGACTATTTATTGCAGATGACGACATTAAGTTTGGGCAGAACTTTTAGCCAATACGAGACAAACTTTTGCGCTCATGAGTCACACGGGTCAGAGGGAAGCCCGTGCTCTGAATGCAGATGTTCACACAGAGAGGTTTAAAGTGGGACGAAAGGCTAAATCAACATTTCTTTTGCAACTTAACTGCGTATATGGTGTTGTAATAGCATTATCTAGTGTTTCTAGTCATGTTTGAGTGGAAATTTTATTGTAAACAAGGTCAATTTGGAGCTTTCTGGTCAGTTTCAAGTACTACATGACATCACACAAGACTGCCCTGATCACAGCCAGGTCTTTTCTGCCTGTTAGACCAATCACACGGTTCCTTATAGTCATAATTTCAGCGAGAACCGCCCCAGACTGATAACGTGTAGAAATCAATTCAGATTACTTGTGATCTGGATTGGAATTTTAAAGGCACACTGTGTAACTTTTCTGGTGGAGGGTCTGACAGTATGGAAATGAAATTCAATTCACTTTACAACAAGGAACCCATTCACAGTGTCTTGCCCAAGGACACAATAACAGCATTCATCTGTGAGACCTGGAATTGCACCGTCAACCTCTGGGCCTGTAGCTCTGACCGCTCAACCAATGATGTTTATATCTAGAGTGGGATTCGAACCGCCAACCTTCGGATCAGTGCTCAAATGTTATTACTAACTGAGCTACTGCTGCCCAGTAAACTCAGTAATCACAGTGGAGAGAGTTTAATGGTCAGATCTATGGAGAAGCGAGTCTGTACATGGTAAGAATTCATGTTTTTAAGGTATTTTTGAGCTATAAAACATCTGTAATTGTGGAACATACCAGGCAAAGAAATAACATCGTCATGGAGACAAGCAGGTAGAACACCCTCTACATTAGAAGTTGCACAGTGCACCTTTAAGTTGTTACTTAAATGGCTCAGGGAATTTGTAATAGTCAGATGGTATCAAGTCCTACACTCAATAATCTTTACTTTTTTATGTCTAAATTATAGATTGTTTCATCGTTAAAATCGTACTTGCAACAGTGTTTTGTTTCATTTACAACTGTTAAAATAATCTAAGATATTTAGTTATATTTACTAGAGTTGGGTATCATTAAGAAGTTGCCGATACGATACGTACCTCAATACATAGGCCACGATACGATACATTTTTCGAGACAGCGCACTTTCGATTCAATACAATTCAATACGACATGTTTAAAATCTATTCTACATTTCAGTAAAAAAGAAAGGATAGAAGCATAAACAATAGGGTTGTCCCATTCACGTGATCGGAAACCGGCGCCGATTGGAAATCGGTGAGGGTCCGTCCAGCGGCGTGAAGTGTCAATTGAGCTGTGGGACCGATGTTGCGGTGCATGTTCTGCTGTTTGCGGTACGTGCTCAGCGATGGGTTTGTGGATGTGGTGGTGGTGAGGGGGAGAGAGGCTGTGGGGCTTCTGTCATCTCGTTTTTATTTGGTAAGATGTTGTATTATTTGGATTTCATAGACGAGCCTAAATATTTCAAATGTAATGCACAGGCTTCAATATAATGTCAAATATACAAAGTGTAGATTGTGCAGAGTCGAGTCTCAGGTCTGATCTGATTCTGGTCTCGTTCCTGTTTTGTCCAGTTCATTAAGTTCATTCCAAGACCAGACTGTGAAAAGTAAAGATTTTCAACAATGATGCTGCTTTGTTCGAAAAGTTCATAAAATTAAAGTTTTGGAAATGTGATTTTTCACACTAAGTTCAGCCCAAATACTACACACTGAAATCAACACAATCTGACCCCCCCCCCCCCAACACATCCTGGATCTTATTCTTTGCTCTTAGTTCATTTTATAATGTTTTATAGAAGTATCGGATCGGGACTCTGTATCGGCAAATATTCAAAATCAAATGACTCGGACTTGGGGGCAAAAAAATTTGATCGGGACATCCCTAATAAACAAGCTTCCTTTCTCCAAACAAGCAACAAAACTGTAGCTCTTTCACAAAGTAATTTTGTAAAATATACTAAAAAATACTCTTGGCGATATATCGATACAGCAGCCCCAGATATCAATATTTCAATATTTTTGTACACTCCTTATATTTACTCTCCTTTTCATAGATCAAAACATTTGTCCGTCAACAGGTACATGTGTGTCATCTTTTGGTAATCCACAAAGCTCCTCTGTGTTTTTAAAGTCCATGCACCTCAAAACCACTACAACTATGAAGCTCTAGTGGAGATATTTTCCAGTCTCATCAGTCAGACTTCATCATTTTAAAGAGGCGCTGTGTAACTTTTCTGGTGGACGGTCTGCCTCTTGTACTTCTCCATGGGGATGTTATTGCTTTGCCTAGAATGTTCTACAGTATGACATGAAACTTTTCCATCTCCATGACAACAATTAAGTCAGAGATCAGAGAGAGACGACACATGAACACTTGTTAACGGTTTAAAGCAAGATAAGTACGTTTAATGCTATAATGAGTAACATTTCAGGATAGAGTAGGTGCTGTGTGTGTGTGTGTGTTACCTGTGAGCAGAAGGAGCGGGGCATGAGGCAGGGGGGGTCACAGGAGCTGCTGTCGGCTCCGGGGCTCAGTGGGGGGCAGCCTCCTGGACACAAGAGAGATTTTGGACATCAGCTGTGAAATATAAACTGAACCTGGGACCCAGTTGCCGTGAGACGCTCCCCGGCGGCCCACGGTGACACGTACCTGTGACGTTGACTCCATCTGACCTCTGGCACCAGATGACGGGCCTGGTGGAGTCTGGTAGAACACTGCTCCTCCACTTGTACTCGTAACAATCTCCTCCTAAAACAAAACATACAAGAGCGTTTTTAGTATGTAATTCAATGTTTTATATTCCTCAAAACAGACTCTTGTGAGCTTTACTGGTGGACTATACACTATGTCACTGCTTGGCCTGGAATGTTCCACAGTATGACATTAAACAGCTCTAACATACATTGATTCAATTACAGGTGTTTTTGGTAACACTTTATAATAACTACACCTTACTTAGCCTTAATAAAGCATGAACAAAGACTTAATTAATAATGAACAAAGACTTAATTAATAATGATTTTATAAAGCATAATTTGTCTTCACTTTAGAAAAGCTCTCAAAAAGACTTAACTAACAGATAACAGCTGCCTGAATGATCATTGCATTGTATTATTAGTAAATCATTCTCTAATAGCTTATTAATCATTAATAAATGCTCAAATGGTTAGTTCATGAGTAATTAAGTATGAAATAATTATGAGTAACTATTTACAGCACAGGTAAATTAAGTGCAGGTGCTAATTAAGGTAGTAATTAAGTAGTTACTCATTAATCATTATTAATTAAGTCTTTGTTCATGCTTTATTAAGGCTAAATAAGGTGCAGTTATTATAAAGTGTTTTTTTTTAATAACTCAGAATTACGTTTGATGGATCCTAAACCAGAAAAGCTACATAATGCACTTTTAACCCTCTCCAGGCAGGCGTTGCAGATTTGCAACAGCTAAATGCCAATTACCTACTTACTCCACATCCATATTTAATGAGCTTTTTTAACTCAGGAGCCTTTTCTCCCATCCATGCTGATAAACGTGGACTGTGCAAGAATGGCTACACGCAAACGGCCTGCCAGAAGTGCAAAGAACTTTTGTTGTTTACAAAGGATACACATTTTTTTCTTGAAGCACCACACGAAAAAGTGATGTTGTTGTGCCACTGTAAAGCTGTTACACTGTGCTTTATGTTTTCATTGTTATGAAAAGTGGTAAACACATAAAGTTAGTGTTCATATCATTTTCAGTCTTCAGTGTTAATTTACCACACCGGACCAATGCTGCAAATCTGCAACATCCAAAAAAAAAAAAAGTCAGGATTGTATATTACTACCCCATATGATCATTTTCCCCAAATATCAGATTTTTCCTGATACTAAAAATGTATTTGAGCCTGAGAGGGTTAAGGCACATTAGAATGCTGTTACCTCCTCAAAAACAGTGATTGTACTAAGAAATAAACTTGATACTCAATGCAGATTCTTGTACCAACAAACAAACAAACACAAAAGTACATATCATAGTACTTTCCTTTCTGTTCCCTTAATTCCCTTAAGGTATTATCTCTTTGCAATCCTTCAGTGATCCAGAGTGAAGAGCCGGTTTCACTTCATAGAAACCGTCTGACCTCACAGCATTACGATTCATTCGACAGTAGATGGGTACTTTTTATCATTTGACCAATCATTGCTATTTGGTCATGACGTATGTAATGCGGAGCTAACAGGTCTAACTGGTATATTAAGCTTTTCCCAAATCCTGTAGGAAGAAGGACAATAACGTCTTTCCCCTTGATAAAATTCCCCAAACATTCTCTTTGTTCCGGCTTTAAATCCTCGATCTCAGGAATCGTTGACAACACAGAATATATGGCTCTTTGCTGATTGGCTCGTGCCCAGACTCACATTTCCGGGGGTCCTTGTAAACCATCTAGTGTATTCTGATTTCTGACCAAGTCGCTGAAGAGAAACAAGCTAGAGGACACTGGGTTCGGGGGCAAAAAAAATGGTGTTGTTTATAGGTGAGTTTCAACTGACATCAATGTTATTAAAAGCCCGCGTTGCATGCTGGGAAATATTTTGGTCAGAGGCAAGAAACACGATAGCGTCAAACACAGTGTGTAACCTCGTGTATTTATCCCTGATAATAGTAAATTCCTGCTGCATTATCAGATGCACAAATAGAAGCACGGAAGAAGGAAAATGTCTTTTTTGTATTCCGAATGAAAAGAACCACTAACGGTGAATTAAATGTCTTTCAAACATCCGCAGAGCAAACGTAGAAGATCCTAACAAACCGTGGACTCCAACAAGTTCAACAACACATCGAGACTCTTGGAGGTTTTCATCTTTTCTGCTGTGAATGGCCCAGGAGTTTCCACCAAGTCATTGTGGATATCACCAAAGTGAATATTTGTCCAGGTAGTTGGCGATTCTGACCAGAAATTTGGTTTGGTCCACCTTTTGTCGGGGTTGAAAAGGGTGATTTGTCGTTCCGTCGATGCTTATGACCAATTTCTGGTCAAATGGTCTTGGGTCCTCTGCCGTTAGAGTGGATAAATAACCAGGATCAATACCCTTTACGTGTTTTCTCGCTCCGTCTGTCATGTTGAATTAGTGTTTCTTGCCGCCGACCAAAATAATTCCCAGCATGCAACGCGCGCTTTTGTCAACAATGAAACTCGCCTATACTTTGTAACTGGCAATTTCTGTTTCTGTTTGAATTGAGTATTACAAACGTGTGATATTGTGTGTATCAGGGGGTTTGGGCATTTTAGAGATCGACTAAGCCACAGCTCAATAACATAAGCCAGTGTAACCTATATTTATTTTTTCATGGGTTATTTTCCCGATAGTGTTTATGTTTCCTGTCCCTGCTCTGATATAGTCCTGCTCCTGTCACTTCTCACAGACAGGAGGCTTCAGTCTGTGATTCAGAGCAGGACGAACACTACACACTTTAGTCTTTATCAGGACATCTGGCCAGTACAGACTATTCCCGTGTAGCGTGTGCCTCTGAGTTTACGACGCTCTAAACTTTTTCAGTTGGGATTTATGAACGTATCTTAATGATAAAAAGAAAAAAGACAACATAACATGAGAAATAGATGGGATACAGATTCAAAGAGTAAATGAAACCAGATTTTTAGGAGTTGATGAAGGTCTGAACTGGAGGAATTACACAAAAGGCAAAATTTCCAAAGCCATTGCTGTTCTGCATAAAGTAAAGTTCTCACTAAATAGTGCAGCATTATTAACTTTGTATAACTATAATTGCACCATATCTGATGTACTGTGTGGAAACTTGGGGTTCAACATGTAAAACTCACCTACAACCTTTATTTATTTTACAAAAAAGCGCCCTGAGAATTATCACAGTCAACAGTCATTGTAGAGAACCATCCAACCCATTATTTGTTCAACTTAAAGTGTTGAAAATGCAGGAGCGAGAAAGCACGTAAAGGGTATTGATCCCGGTTATTTATCCACTCTAACGGCAGAGGACCCAAGACCATTTGACCAGAAATTGGTCATAAGCATCGATGGACGCCAAATCACCCTTTTCAACCCCGACAAAAGGTGGACCAAACCAAATTTCTGGTCAGAATCGCCAACTACCTGGACAAATATTCACTTTGGTGATATCCACAATGACTTGGTGGAAACTCCTGGGCCATTCACAGCAGAAAAGATGAAAACCTCCAAGAGTCTCGATGTGTTGTTGAACTTGTTGGAGTCCACGGTTTGTTAGGATCTTCTACGTTTGCTCTGCGAATGTTTGAAAGCCGTTTAATTCACCGTTAGTGGTTCTTTTCACTCAGAATACGAAAAAGACATTTTCCTTCTTCCGTGCTTCTATTTGTGCATCTGATAATGCAGCAGGAATTTACCATTATCATGGGGATAAATACACGAGGTTACGCACTGTGTTTGACGCTACCGTGTTTCTTGCCTCCGACCAAAATATTTCCCAGCATGCAACGCGGGCTTTTAATAACAATGACGTCAGCTGAAACTCGTCTATATTCAAAGACTGTTTGAGATGAGAAAAAGCCACTAAAATTTAAAAGGAACCTACATGTTTAAAAAACCCAGATTCAGAACCAAGGTTATGGAGCGAAGCATCGGTGTGAAAGGAGTGAACTTTTTGGAACAGTCTTGACAAAGAAAGAAAATAATCAAGTACAATGACGACATTTAAATAACATATAAAATAGAACGCAGTGTGTATGTATGAAAAAGAAAAATAAGTTGTTGTATATAATAGTGAAGATTACTGTTTGCAATTGATCAGTAATTGTGCCTGAACTGATTTGGAATGTTTAGTGACCATCAGTGTTGATGTTTTGTCTTGAAAAAGGAAAGGGGATGCAGGAAACATAAGATTTCTCTTCTTTCTGCTCCTTTTCATTCATTTCTTGTGTGTCTGATGTTGTGACACTGTCCATGTCTTTTTAATAAATACAAATACAAAATCTCCTCTACTATGAGGTCAATTTTCATCAAGTAAAGAGTGGTGTAGAGTTTGAGACGTGAAGAACTGCATCATGATCATCCAACCTCTCCACAGAATCTAATAGACCTTTGTAATAATACCTTTAATAATTGTAGGTGCATTTTCTGATCAAAGCAGCGGTCTGTGCCCTCGCTGTGAGAGAGACGGAGCGAGGATGGAAAGGCGGAGTTTAGACGCTCAGAGCTTGAGAAATGCCGGCGATTATATCCATCCAATTATAATAAGCTCTTAATAAGATCCATGATTGTATCTGATCAGATGAGCAAAGACTGTCACCAAAACTAAGATAAGTGACCCACTCAAAGCTGTCGACTGATAGAGTCAAAATTCCTCCCAGATGTTTTTTAGGGTCCCAAAAGGAAAGACATGTCCTGGAAAAAGAGAACATCTGCTCACCCTGTCTTATACTTGTTCTGATGCAGCTCAAGATATTTCTAAAGCTACACTACCAGTCAAAAGATTTAGAACACCAAACGTTTTCCAGTTTACTGTTGACCAAAACATATTCTAAACTTTTGATTGATGTGTGTGTCCACCTTTGGCAGATAGAACAGCTGAACACACTCGTGGCTCGTTCTTTTTACAACAGAAATCAAATATTCTTCAGAAAGTTCTTCCCAAGTCTGTTGCAGACAGTGTTGGGAAGGTGACTTTTAAAATGTATTCCCCTACAGATTACAGATTACATACCTCAAAATGTAGTTTGTAACGTAATCCATGAAGTTATTTAAGGTGAGTAACGTAATCTGAATACTTTGCTTCTCTACAGCAAATCAAGTAATCCAAATACTAGGATGGTTTAGTCCTGGTTTAGTCCTGGTTTAGACCTGGTTTTAGACCTGTTTTAGATCTGGTTTATACCTGGTTTAGATCCAGTTTAGATGTGGTTTTAGTTCTCGTTTAGATTTAGTTTAGAACTGGTTTTATTTCTGGTTTAGACCTGGTTTAGATCTAGTTTAGATCTAGTTTAGACCTGGTTTTAGTCCTGGTTTAGACCTGGTTTTAGACCTGTTTTAGACCTGGTTTAGAGCTAGTTCAGATCTAGTTTAGACCTGGTTTAGATCTAGTTTAGATCTGGTTTTAGTCCTGGTTTAGACCTGGTTTAGCTCTAGTTTAGACCTGGTTTAGACCTGGTTTAGATCTAGTTTAGACCTGATTTTAGTCCTGGTTTAGATTTAGTTTAGACCTGGTTTTAGTCCTGGTTTAGTGCTGGTTTAGACCTGGTTTAGATCTAGTTTAGATCTAGTTTGGTTTCTGGCAATGAGTGGAATTACCGAGAAAAAAAAAAAAAGAAAAAAAAAGGGAATAGCCCAAATTGTGAAAACAATAAAAACAGGAAAAATACCACCATGTAATCCATTTATTTCAACAAAATAACTGTAATCCAATTACCACTCACTGAAACAGTAACTGTAATCGAATACAGTTACTCATAATTTGTACTCTGATTACTATAACTCTGGTACATGTAATCTGTTACTCCCCAACACTGGTTGCAGAAGTTTCCATAAATGTGTGGCACTTGTAGGTTGCTTCACTCTTCATCCCAAACCAGCTCGATGGGGTTTAAGTCTGGACACTGTGCTGCTGGACACTCCAGGTTTTCAAACTTTACCATCTTGTTCTTTTTTCCTGAGGTAGTTTTGGCAGAACTTGGACTTGTGTTTTGTATCTTTATCTTGTTTTTAACCTGTCTGTTCAGTTCTTATCTTTGTAACATTTCAAGCTCTTCACTGAACTTGATCTGCAATAAATAACTGCAAAAATTCTAATTCTTCAAATCAGGCAAGAAATCTCGGGGTAATAATGGACTCAGACTTGAACTTTAACAGCCACATCAAATCAATAACATCTGCAGCCTTTTACCATCTAAAAAACATAGCAAAAATCAAAGGTTTACTGTCTAAATCAGACTTGGAGAAACTTATCCATGCGTTTGTCTCCAGTAGGTTAGATACTGTAATGTTCTGCTCACTGGTCTCTCCAAACGAGCTGTGAGACGCTGCAGAACATCCAGAACATCCAGAACATCCAGAACACTGCAGCTCGGGTCCTTACTCGAACTAGGAAGTACGAGCACATAAGTCCTGTGCTCAGGTCTCTGCTCTGGCTCCTGTGCCTCAGAGAATAGACTTTAAAGCAGCTCTGCTTGTACAAGTGTCTCCATGGCCGAGCACCAAAGTCCATCTGTGACATGTTAGTGTCATATGAACCATCTCACACTCTGAGGAGCTCAGGGACCGGCCTCCTGCTGGTGCCCAGAGTCACGACTAAACAAGGGGAGTCAGAGTTTCAGGTTCATGCAGCTAAAACCTGGAACAGTCTGAACATGTGAGACAGACTCTTCTGTGACGCTGTTTAAATCCAGACTCAAAACATTTCTGTTTAACTGTGCAAATAACTGAAAGGTTTTCATTCCGCACTCTTCTCTCCAATTTATGTCTCTCTTTTTTAATTTTAATCTTCATGATTATTTATGTTTTGATTTGTTTTTATTATGATTTTAATGTATTTCTTATTCTGTAAAGCACTTTGAATTACTTTGTGTACGAATTGTGCTGTACAAATAAACTTGCCTTGCCTTCTGACAACCCCAGTTTTGTGGATCCATATATCTGTATCCATATATATATATATTTTGTAAACAGATCTGTCCTAATGGTGGCGTCGCATCTTCTGTTTGCTGGTGCGTGGGAAAACCTGGCGCATTAACATTAGCTCACATCAGCATTAGCGTTTAAATCCATAATGAGAGCAGATTAGTGAGAGGTGACGATCGGTCTTGAGTCCTGCTCCTCTGAGCCTAATCTCATTCAGCTCCAGAAGAACTCTTATCTCATGTATGAAGACTACAGTAATACGGAAAAGAAGGATTTCACATGGAACACAAAAGGAGCGGGTCTCTCACAGTTTGGAGTTTTGTATGAGGTTTAAAGCTCCTACGTACATGACACAAAACGGACTCTTGTGAGCTTTAAGACATGTTATAATGTGAGTACCTCCTCAAAAACAGACCTGGAGTTGTTTTTAATCTGTGTATCATTCGTTCATTAGTTTTTCAAAATAAAACCAAAAATAATAATAATGTCTCTAAAACCAAAATGAAAAAAACACAGATAATGATTAATGTTTTCGTTTTTCGATTTTGTGTTTAAATGAAAAATGGGGGGAAAAAAACGGATAACGGCCGTTTACGTGACTTCTGTGACTGCAACGCTGGACTTTTGCACCGCATATGGACAGGACCAGACCGGAACCAGACCGGGACTGAGACTGGGACCAGACCGGGACTGAGAGACCAGACCGGAACCAGACGGGACCAGACCGGACTGAGACCGGGACTGAGACCAGACCAGAGCGGACCAGAGCGGGACTGAGACTGGGACTGAGACTGAGACCAGACCAGGACCAGGAGAGGACAGACCGGGACTGAGACTGGGACTGAGACTGGGACTGAGACCAGAGACTGAGACCGGGACCAGACCAGACCAGACCAGACCGGGACCAGACCGGGACCAGACCAGACTGGAGACTGAGACCAGGACTGAGACCGGAGAGACCAGGACCAGACCGAGACCAGACTGAGACCAGACCGGGACCAGAGACCGGACCAGAGCGGACCGGAGCAGACTGAGACTGAGACCAGACCAGGACCAGACCGGGACCAGACCGGGACTGAGACTGGGACTTAGACCGGACTGAGACCACCAGACTGAGACCAGACCAGACCGACCAGACCAGGACCAGACCGGGACTGAGACCGGAACCAGACAGAGACCAGACCGGGACCAGAGCGGGACCAGGGACCAGAGCAGGACTGAGACTGAGACCAGACCAGGACCAGGCTGGAACCAGACCGAACCAGACCGGGACCAGACCGGAGACTCAGAGCCCACGGCAGGTCCGGAGCTCGAAGCTCTGGTCCCGGTCTGGTCCATGAGTTGGGCCCTTTAAAGGTCAATTGAGCTGTTAACTTGAATCACAAGGTGGAATAGGAACAGAGAATTTGGAGCTTTGGAGATGTAGACAGAATAATAATAAAGAGTTACTGATGTGTGAATGAAACAAAACACAAGTGCAGGTCTGTTTTTGAGGAGGAAACAACATTATAACAGGACTTTAAAGATAAAATACACTTAAGTATATGTAATAAAAGTAGGAGCTGTCAGGTGCAGGTGGTCAGGGTGGGCTTGACCGCTGCTCTCTGTCCCTGTCAGACGGGGTCACCTGTCCACACTGCTGCTCCTGTCGTGTGTGTAAAGTGCACTTTGAGTTTTCCACTGAGAGGAGTGTGGAGGTAATGTGACATTATGATCAGCCTCACTTATCACACACACACACACACAGATCTGACAGCACAACACACACACACACACCACAGCACACACACCTCAGCACACACACCACCGGACAGACACTAAAGCACACACACACACACACACACGCACACACACACACACACACACACGCACAGCACAGACACACACACACTGACACACACACACAGCACACACAGCTCAGCACACACACCACCGGACAGACACTAAAGCACACACACCACTGGACACACACTACAGCACACACACTACAACACACACACCACAGCACACACACTACAACACACACACCACAGCACACACACTACAGGATGGAGAGGAAGAGAAACAGAGAGGGGGGATCGGCAGAGAAAGAGGAGAGAGAGAGAGACAAAGAGAGAGAAAAGAACAGAGAGAGGCAGAGAGAAAGAAGACATAGAGTGAGATGAGAGAGTCAGAGAGAGAGTAGACAGACAGAAAAAGAAGAGAGACAGAACAGACAGAGTGAGATGGGAGAGAGACACAGAGAGAGTAGAGAGAAGAGACGGAAAAGAAGAGAGAGAGAGATGGGAGAGGGAGAGAGAGCAGAGAGAAGAGAGACAGAAAAAGAAGCAGAGAAGAGATAAGAAAGACAAAAAAGAGAGAGCCAGAGAGAGAAAGGAGAGAGAGAGTGAGATGGGACAGGGAATGAGAGATAGAGAGAGAGGAGAGTGAAGAGAGACAGAAACAGCAGAGAGAGAGAGAGGAAAGAGAGAAGAGATAGAGTGAGATGTGTGAGAGAGAAAGAGGAGGGATATTACGGCTGGTTTAATACTGTAATACTGTACAGTGTAGTGGAGCTGTATAGTTGACCTGGGTAAATGCTACAAGCTCCAGCTGACCCCAGTGAAGAAGAGAAGAGCAGCCAGGGGACTCTGGGTAATGTAGGCTAATTCAATTACTCCACACTCATTAAAATAGACTCTTTCTGAAGGGACTCTGTGAGCTTAAAGAGGCCTATGCTGTTTCACTTCATCATTACAGCGTTAAGAATCACCTCATCTCTGACCGTCGTGTTGCAGATAATTGTGCCACTTTAGAAATTTCTACATTATAACTTGTCTTAAAGCTCGTAAGAGAATTTGTGAACTATAGCACCTTTAAAAACCTAAAAAGGGAGGATACAGAACATATTGATGAGTTTCATGTTTATATTGTGTCTTGAATCCTCACCAGTGCAGCTCTGAGACTCCCAGGCCTGGTCCGGACACTGCTGGAGGTTCTCCGGTTCTTGGGCCAGGACGGCTCTGGACCGGACCTGGACCGAGCCGAACTCCACCGAGGCCTCCTTCACGCAGATACTGACACACGGACTCCAGTCTGACCACTCCATCAGGTAACACTCGCCTGGAACACACACACAGATAAACATGTGACTGGAGGACGGGGGAAAACGGTGAACAGGAAGTACTCCCAAAGACCCTGTTCAGACTAGCAGTAACGCTTTGCACAATTTGTTTTTATTTTTCTCTTTAAAATTTTGCATGTTTCTATACTCTTGATTTTATTGGAAAAGTACTTTGGCACTTTGGGAACCTAGAGTGTTGTAAATCTCTAGAAAAGGTAAAGGAAGACTTGACTCGAGTGTCTGGAAGCTGATTCCACTGACTGATGGTTTGAAAAGAAAAGGCAGACTGTGCAAAAACTGAACATCTTATCGGGATTGTGCAGTTTTATTTAGTAGTGGCAAGGGACGTAACAATATACAAATCTCACGGTACGATCTTATTACGATAAGCATCTGACAGTATGATCTTATTGTGGTATGCATGTCATTGTACTTATTATTACAATATGCGTCTCACGGTAAGATATTATTAAGATAAGTGTCTCAAGGTATGATATTATTACTATAAGCATCTCACTGTTACAACACTATTATGATAAGCATCTCACGGTACAATATTATTACAATATGCATCTCATAGTACTATATTATTCTGATTAGCATCTCATGGTATGATATTATTATGATAAGCATGTCACTGTTACAATGTTATCACGATAAGCATCTCAAGGTACAGTATTACAATAAGTATCTCACGGTACGACATTATTATGACATGAATCTCACGGTACAATCTTATTACAACATACATTGCACGGTATGATCTTATTACAGTAAGCATCTCATGGTACGATATTATTACGATAAGCATCTCACGGTACAGTATTATTATGATAATCATCACACTGTATGATATTATTACAATATGCATCTCAAAACACAATCTTTTTACAATATGCATCTCACGGTACAATATTATTACAGTAAGCATCTCAAGGTACGATATTATTATGATATGAATCGCACGGTACAATCTTATTACGATATACGTCTCACGGTATGATCTTATTACAGTAAGCATATCAAGCTATTACTACGATGTGCATCTCATGGTACAATCTTATAACAATATGCATTGCATGGTACGATATTATTACAATATGCATCTCAAAATACGTTCTTTTTATAATAATATACATCAGTACAATACTATTACGATATGCATCTCACGGTACAATATTATTACGATAACCGTCTCACATTATGATATTATTACGATACGCATCTCATGGTACGACCTCATTATGATAAGCATCTCACGGTACAATATTATTACGATAGGCATCACACGGTACGATGTTATTACGATAAGCATCTCACAGTATGATATTATTATTATATGAATCTCATGGTACAATCTTATTACAATATGCATCACACGGTATGATATTATTATAGTATGCATCTCAATATACGATCTTATTACAATATACATTTCACGGTACGATACTATTACGATATGCATCGCACGGTACAATATTTATTGCAATATTTTGAAGAGGCTAATAGAACTGTAGACAGGACACCTTTTTGCTTTTAAAATACCTTGACAAAACTTTGGTGTGAATCAATACTGTCATAATCCCAAGAATTAAAGTAAAAAACATATTTCTTCATGTTGTCTGCACTGAAATGAATCATGGGATATGTAGTTCATTGTGTTTATTAACTGTTGTCACTATAAAACCATACATTTAAGCAAAGGAACTTGTGATTCGATATATTGTGCCAGCCCACGATATTATTGTGAGACTTTTGACGATACTATATCACGATATTTAGTTAGCTGTGTCCATTTATATAAACAGTCTATGGTTCAGAACAAAGTTTAAAACACCATTTCACCGAACAACAAAAACTATGCAACTGGAATACAAGGAGAAAGGTTCAAAATGGAGACAAGGAGACGAAATGGTGGCAGCACTCCCCTGGACAAAATCAAACATGTCGAATTTTTCACAATCACAGGAGCACAAGGCAAAACGGTGAACTGGTAAGATTCTTCAGTAATACAGAAAGAAATGATGAAGGCAAGGACACACTGAGCACAGATAAACTCCCTTGATAAGACAGACTTAGAAAAATATCACTGAAGGACAAGGTAAATGGCAAACAGGAAGAAACCCCTGAAAACTGCTTTTCGCTGGAGTACAAGGCAAAATGGTGAACAGGTAACATGCCCGTAGATAAAGAGGGAGGAAAGAAACACAAAACTGGAGGACAGGAAAATTTTTTTTTACCAAAACTGTATTTAGCACTACAGAGGGGGAAGCAGGAGGACAGGGAGAAATGGTGCACAGGTAATTCTCTCAAGCAGAAAAGAGGCTAAACTGGAGGACCTGGAGAAATGGTGTAAAGTAAAGACTCCCCTGAACATAATAAAGAATATCTGAATGTAGAAAACCAGGAAAAAATACTGATAACTGGCCTAGTCCAATTTAAAATAATTTATGTATTTGTATGTGTGTGTGAGTGTGTGTTTGTGTGTGCTTGTTCTGCTATTGATATTTTGCAGTGACGTCATGCTGGGGGTGTTCCTCATGTATCTCTAATGGCGGAATTATATAACGGTTTTACTTCGTTTCACTTCGTAGAAGCCGTCTGACTTAGATTTCATTCCCTCGACGGTAGGCAGGTGCTTTTTTTTCTTTAACCAATCGCTGCTATTTGGTCGTGACGTATGTTATGCGTCGCTAACAGGACTAACTGGTATATTAAGCTTTTCCCAAATCTCGGTAAGAAGAAGGACAATAAAGTCTTTCCCCTTGATGAAATTCACCAAACATTCTCTTTATTTCGGCTTTAAATCCTCAATCTCGGGAATTGTTGACAACACTGAATGTCTGTCTCTTCGCTGATTGGCTGGTGCCTGAACTCGCACTTCCGGGGGGTTTTGCGAACTGTCTATTGTATTTTGATTCCTGACCTAGTTGCTGGAGAGAAATTAAATTGAGCAGAGGCACTAGGTGGCACCAGCCTGGCTAGACACAATGCACATGTCATGGAAATTGTTTTTCTTGCAATAATCAATTTCTAAAGCCTTGTGAGTTATGGAATAGAAAGCAGCTTTAATCTTTGTTGCAACAGATATGGTCGTGTGTCTTTTATTTATTTATTTTATTTTCTTCATTGTATTATCATTTTTAGCTTTATACATTTTAACACTTATTTTGAGCACTATTTATTGTTTTTAATTATGGTTTACTGTTTTTATTGTATTCATTTGTTTGTTCAGCATTTTGGAAACTGTCATGTTTATAAAATGTGCAATAGAAATATTGTGGCCAGAAACCACTAGCCTCCATGGGTCCTAAGAAAGTCTCTCTGAGTGTCCCCACTTTTCCTCCAATGAATGGATGGGCCACATGGTGAGGTTTGACCAGACAGTCATGAGTTGGTTTGGCCTCAAGATGAACATGTGGCATTAACAGAATAATCTTTATTCACGCTTACATCACAAACCAGGAAGACATTTGGAAACATGTGATGATGACTTCCGGTGTAGTTCCCGACACTGGGCTTGCCGACCGACTGTGATAAAACCCATTGAAGTAAATGTGATCAGTGACAAAATGAAGACTGGAGTTGTGTGTCAGTGGGGAAGTGATGAAAACTGATGTATGGTTGTAACTGTTGATAAACCGAACATAACAGAACACTACAATGATATGGAGATGAAGAAAACTGGACTAATTTCTCTTTTTTCCTAGATTTTGTCAGCCTTACTCTTGCAAACAGAGCCTGTCAGAAGTTGTCATCACATGTTGACAGATGTATTCCTGGTTTGAGACGTAAGCGTGAATAGAGCCTGTACAAAGTGTGGTGCATTTCAAGGGAGAAAGTTCAGAAAGAGAGTTGTTTGATCTGATTGTATCTAACTGTAAATACTACTGACATACCCGAGGAGATTAACAAACAAGATGGAACAAAAAGGTGTTACATTTTCAAAAAAAAGTTTTACAATCGTCTGAAAACTCAAGAAAAAATACAAAATTGTTTTAAACAGCACATATGCATGAGTCTGGTCAGTCTGAGTGTTCATGGTACCGTTTAGGTGAGAGTGACTAAGGATACATTCAGACTGCAGCCTGAAGTGACCCAAATCTGATTTTTTTTTACAACTATGCAACCTGTATCTGATCTTTTAATGACAGTCTGAACGACACAGATCTGATCTTTTCCAAATGTGACACAGGCATTTGGATATGTGCTCCTAAAACCCATACATATCAGATCTTTTGATATGCAACTTCAGTCTGAACGGCCAGGTCACACTCATCCCACCTACACGTCATAACAACACAGGTAACAAGAACCTGTTGCGAGCCAATACAGCCCAACGCCGATACGTTTGCTCACTGAAATAGGCCGCCAAAGACGCGAGAGTGGTACAAGTTGGCGCTCCCAAATGTACACAAACATTCTTCTCGTCATACGAAAATTGTGTATAAGCTCTGTGTGAGTGAAGCAGTGAAGCACATCGCAATCCCACCACTCTCGGCTGCGATTTTGCACCACACACACGTTCCTTTCTACGGACCTTGCTGCCACTGCCCCACAAAACGCCATGGTCAAAAACCTCGTCTTTCTTCTTCTCAATATCCTCCTTAAAACAAATAAGCTGTACATGTTCTGGCTCTGGTACGACAGCAACTTTAAAATCATCTGACGTCGTCTTGTCCTCCAAAGCTCATGCGGGATGCTTTTTGGGCCTTTAAAGTTCACACTGGAGATCACATACAAGTCACATTTAATTGGAAATTGTGAACAACCTCGCAAAAAAATTCCAAACTCAGCATTAAGCCCTGCAGTCTCAACTTAGTGTAACTGAAAAACTGTCAGCTTTGTGACTGTGATTTTCTGTGTGAGAGACTTGTGTAACAGCACAAATCACCTCACCTCTCACCTCTGTTCCAGCTACGTCAGTTCAGATTGTGTTAAAATAATGTGCAGATTAAAGTCTAATAAAGCTTCAGATCAAGCAGAGCCTACAGATAGC